CTCGAGTCCAGACCTGTTCCGGAGCGGACCCCCGGGGATCCAGCCCCCATCCCTGGCAGTGCTAACGCCTTTTCGCTGCTATGCTTTACAATGCCACACACAGACCTCAGCAGAAGTGAGCAGCGTGGGGTCTGTTTGGACCAAGAACTAGTCTTTTCTAGCGCACTTTACCAGGTTTCTATTGGAGGGGCTGCTCAGTCACACAGCCAATGAGGAGTAAGGTCCAGGTCCACAGCAGGAAGCTGTTTTTTTGGGTAAAATCTGAACTTGTTCCTTAGCGGGCATAAAGACGTAGTGCTACGTCCACTTTGTCCCACTGGTCCTGGAGCTGGAGGCTGACTGCCAGTCAGACTGAAATCTCATAGGTGGTGCCCCCGACACCCGTCACCTTCTTCACCCCGCTGCCTTGGGGCTTGTGGGCAGGACTCAGCATCAGCGCTGGGCTGGGACAGGCTGCTCTGGGCGGGGCGGCCGTGTTGACTGGGTGACAGGGAGAGGAAGGGGCGGAGCAGGAGGAGGTGGAAGTTGAGGAGAAGGGCTGACCTCCATTAATCCGACTCAGAGATTTCATCTGCATCAGCTCATCCCTGATTTTAGGAAAAGACAGAAAAGAAGAATTTTACTGGAAACTGCGTGCTGCAGCGTGTTAGCCATGTTAGCTCTGCTGCTAATGTTATCACTGAAGCTCGGCTACGTTTACTACATTTAGATCTGAACACATTTTATGTTGAACATTGAAGGTGAAGGAACGATTGGATTGCTTTGATCGGTGAGAAAGAATTTGGCGAGTCAGAGTGGACGTAGTTACGGCATGCGTTGTTCCAGAGGGAACATGGACACACAGCTGGGCTGTTGCGTTACCGATGGTGACAATAAAAGTGTTTACGCTGATTGGTCCTTGAAAATACTGGCAGTGGGCGGTGCTACCCTCAGCCATGTCGATGCTAGAGTTCACATCAGGTCAACCCAAACCAGGGCTACCAAAGCTAGCTTTAGCATAGTGCTATAGAGGTCAGTAGTTTATGAACGGTGAATCATGCTTTTCACTTTTCTTTAATAATCGTACAGGTACAGAAACACCTTGGTATACAGGGGTGGAGGACGTGTACACAACACAGCGAGCAGGACGGAAAAGAACAGGAATGAGAGACAGACTGAAAATGTCGTCATGCAACAGTCAGACTGAGCCTCAGTTTAACAGCAACACTGTGCTGCTGCTCACTCTTCAGGACTGTGGGAGGAAAAGTTTCACCTTCAGATTCCACTTCCTGTGTGGTTAAACCGAGGAGAGGAGCAGTAAAAAGCTCCTACTGGGCTCCTCAGTTTGATTAAAATCATCATCACGTCAAATCATGGTGACCAAACAGACGGTAGCAATAACGCACAAGACAACAAACAACGCACAACAGATGGATGGAAGCAAAGGGAGAAGAATGAGAAACTCACAGGAAGTCTGGCAGGATGAGGAGGAGGAAGAGAGAAGGGAAGAGGAGGAGCAGGAGCAGGAGGAGCAGTCAATCAGGTAGTCAGGTTTCAGGCGAGCAGGCCAGTGTCAAACCAATCGTCCCGACAAAAGCTCAAACTCATACTCACTTCGGCACTTGGATTCCTCCTCCTCCCATCCCTCCTCCTCCACCTCCTCCTACCCCCGCTGCGTTGGCTCCGGCCGACGCCGAGGCCTTGCGGACCAGCCGGTACTGCATTTCGGCGGCGGCTGCGCTTGAATAGGAGAGCGACTTGCCCAGAGGTGGGGGGTGTGGGGAGCGGGGAGGGTGCGTGGTGGAGGAGGAGCCCAGAGGCGTGTCGGTCGAACGGGTGCGATAGGGGTAGGCGTGGTGGGGCCCTGCGTGAGGGGCAGCAAAGCGTGGAGGACGAGAGGTGGAGGAAGAGGACGAGGAGTGATGATGGTGGTGGTGGGAATGGTGGTGGTGATGGTGGTGGTGGTGGTGGTGGTGTGGGGGCGGTGGAGCAGAGGTTTGACCGGCAGGCGCTGCAGGTAGGTGGGGCTCGCCCAGCAGGCGCTCCCTCTCTGGTGGAGGCGGGGGGGAGGAAGACGTGGAGGATGAGGAGTGATGGAGGAAGGGGTGGTGGTGGTGAGAGGAACGGTGGTGGTGGTGGGGTGACTGGGTGGACTGGGACTGCATCTCAGCCTCTCTCTGCTGTGACGACAGGAAGGGGGAGCTGTAGCCACCACCCGCCGCTGGCGTGCAGGGTCTCCCGCCGGAGACGTCGGGGGCCGCCGAGCTCACGCCCACTCCTTTGTCAAACTCATCGCCGCCTGCTAGCAAGCTGTCGTAAGACAGGCTCCCGTTGCGAGATGGGTGGTGGGGTGGGGGCGTCTGATTGGCTAAGCTCTTGAAGCTGGCGGAGGTGGTGGTGGCCTCCGAGACGTGGACGGTGCCCGCCGAGGTGTGCGTGGAGCTGGAAGATCGCGACGCCACTCCAGACAGGACGGTGGGGTCAGAGAAGGAGGGGTAGGAGCGCCCGCCCAGAGAATAGCCAGGAATGCCCCCTCCTCCTCCCCCCTCTCGCCCCACCTCCCTCCTCTCCCCTCCTCCTCCCCCTCCCACTCTTTCAGACGACGTTTCCCTCCGATCCAGGCTGGGCTGCGAGCGGAAACCAGGCTGCTGGCTGGCCTGGAGGAGGGAAGAGGTGGAGGAGGACGAGTCCCTGGCGCTGCCGACGCTCTCCCCTCGACTTAACTGGAGGAGCCAGAGGGAAGAGGAGAGAGAAGAGGGGAGGTGAAGGGAGGCGGAGGGAGGAAAGAGAAACAAGAAGAAGCTGAGCACGTGAAGATTAAAGTCATACTGCACTCTAGTGGAGACAGCCTGACACAACAGCCTAACTAACGGTGATTGGTCAGGGGTGGGTCATCTAAGCAGGAGGCCGGTGGTTGGCTGTGCTTTCACAAGTATCCCCCATCAGAGTGTGTGTGCATGTTAGGTTGAGAGTGCGCTAAGTGCTCAAATAGAGTGAAAAGCAGTGTTATTTTGTACAACCCTGATGAAGATGAACCTGGCGACAGCTCCATCATCATAATGTTACTTATAATGATGCCAGTGTTCATCACACACCTATTGTGCCCTGTGTTTGGAGCTTCCTGCGCTCTTTTCAGTAACATGTCAGTCAGTCTTCCATGATCGTCTCTGAGATTGTGAAATGATGGCGTCCGCTGCATTTGCACTGATGTTTAAACACTAAAGAGGAATCGTACAGAGCTACAACCACAGCCACTCAAAGCCCTTTTCCATTAGTCCCTACTTGGATCACGTCGATGTGACTCCAACTGTTACGACTGCCGCCCGACGTGCGGGGGGTCGGTATAGCCAAAGATCTTGTGATGTCATTTGTATGCGACATGAACACGTCGAGGCTCAAAGTGTGGCTTTGTGTCACACTCTGCCCACTGCTGTGCTTTAAAAATGGTGGGAGTTTCTCTCTGACTGGCCAATCGTTGGCATGCGGTCTGCTGACATCACATTTTCAGATCACTTGGAACCCCGGGTAATGGAAAAGGGCTGCAAGGCACAAATCTAACCAGGAAGAACTAATAGAAAACAAACGGAGGAGTGATATGGACCAGACGTGGGCACAAATACTGAGCAGAACCCGTCCTGATTCACGTTCACATCTCAAAGAACGCTGCTGAGACAGGAAGTCTGTTTTCAGTGGGTTCATTCAGTATTTCAGCCACGTCAGTGCAAACAGAAGGAGACAGGAAGCCGAGTTCAAAGGAAGATAAGAGGAGGAAACTGCTTTCAGCACAATCACTTACTGATCAACAGAAAGCCACTGAGAAACCAAACCAAGATGGCCGACAGGAAATCAAAAGGAGAAACCAAAATAAAACCAAAACAGAAATGGAGATGTTAGAAAACGATCAAAGAAGCAGAAGCAGGGACCAGTCCAACCTGACACGTAGCACATACTCTTGTGTTCTGCGTGCGTTACCTGGTTGGCGTAAGCGTGTGTGAGCGCCGTGTGGTTCTTGCCGGGGCTGTACGTGGGCCTGTATTTGTACATAGTGGGAGTGGGAGGGGCCTTATTCAGCAGACTGCACTCTGGAGGGTGGAAAGAGAAACAAACACAATGAGCACAGCATCTCCTTCATGTGCACTGAGCACCATTAGCATAGCAGAGCTGTAAGTGAGTGAATGCAGAGATGCAACGTTTCCAACACGCTCACAGATGAGTTTTATGTTTGGACAGCCTGCATGACTCATGCTAGCACAGCTTCTTCTGACAGCTACGAGTCATTCAGGTTTTGTGAGTCCATCCTTCTGCAAAAGCTCTTGGGGTGTCCTGCATGCACTGCTTTGAAACATTGTCCAATATTCATAGATCAGAGGTGTGTGAGGTCTTCTTGAGGTGCGTTCAGGATCCGTCTCCTCTTGTTCTTCTGTTCATTTACAGAGATGCTGTGACGTCGGCTGACACTGTTCACAAGGATTCAGCTGAACCTTCAGTGTGCAACACAAAGCCTGAGGAGCTTTGATGGATTTGATCTTTGGGTCAAACTCGTTGGGCATTTTTGCTTATTCAGCATTTTAACTCCCGATGAGGATAAATATTAAATCCTTTGAG